GGCCCAGCTGGCCTACGAGCTGCAGGGGGCCCGCGAGCAGCAGAAGATCCGGCAGGAAGAGATTGAGATCGAGGTGGTGCAGCGCAAGAAGCAGATTGCAGTGGAGGCCCAGGAGATCCTGCGCACAGACAAGGAGCTCATCGCCACGGTGCGCCGCCCCGCCGAGGCCGAGGCCCACCGCATCCAGCAGATCGCCGAGGGTGAAAAGTGAGAGCCCCCCAGGGCCGGGCCGGGTTAGTCAGGCTCCTCTGCTATCCACGAGCTCCCCCACTCCCTGACCACAGCCTGGAAGCCACTGCCTCCCTGTCGGCTAGCTCACTGTGGCACGGGGTAACCTCACCACCACCCAAGGACCATCCTTAGGAAAACGGAATTAGATCAAGGCGGGTGGAGGGCCTGGGAGCGCTTGGCTTGGAGGGCATCCTGGATAGCCCCTCTCCCACTCGTGACCAAGAGCAGGTAGCCTCTCCCCAGCTGAGCCAGAAGGCCAGGGCTCCCGTTTCACACGTCTCCCACCTTTGACAGTCCCCAGAGCAGGGCACCTTGTGGGTTTGCTGCTCCCCCTCAAGCAAGGCTTGAGAGGATGCTGGTACCTCCCACTGACCCTGGCTGCCCTGGGCTCCCCAGGGTGAAGCAGGTCCTCTTGGCACAGGCAGAGGCTGAGAAGATCCGCAAAATCGGGGAGGCGGAAGCAGCAGTCATCGAGGCCATGGGCAAGGCAGAAGCTGAGCGGATGACGCTCAAGGCTGAGGCCTACAAGAAGTATGGGGACGCGGCCAAGATGGCCTTGGTGCTGGAGTCCCTGCCCCAGGTGAGGACCCTGGATTGTTGGAGCCTGTCAGAACCTCAGTAACGTCGTGACAGGCCGGCCGGAAGGGTTAACGGGGAGAGTCCCCGGCCGGGTCCAGGTACCCTGCAGCAGGCCTCAGCCATCCCAGGCTCACTGCCTGTCTTGCCAGGGCTTGCACATCGGGGCCAAGCAGGCTGCTCTGGGGTCTGGGTGAGTCAGTGAAGGGAAAGAACCAGGACAGGACAGACAGACAGAGTGCTGGTCAAGCCCTCTGTTCACCCTGCTCCCTAGATTGCGGCCAAAATCGCTGCCCCGCTGACCAAAGTCGATGAGATCGTGGTCCTCAGCGGGGACAACAGCAAGGTGACATCGGAAGTGAATCGCCTGCTGGCCGAGCTGCCTGCCTCCGTGCACGCCCTCACGGGTGTGGACCTGTCTAAGGTGTGTACCTGCCTCGCTGTGCTGGGGTTGTCTGGGCAGCCCATTGGACTGGCCCAGGCAGACTGGTGCGGGGCTCCGGGGCCGAGGCCTCATGGCATCCCCCATCCTTGCAGATACCCCTGATCAAGAATGCCACCGGGGCACAGGTGTGAGGCTCCCGCAGGCCCACACCCTTCAGCAGCTGCCTGCCCCTCCCTCCAGCACCCGTTTTAATACCGCAAGGACAACGGGGACGTTCCTGACTCTGGTGCCTTATTTTGTAGGGACCAGAAGTGCTGTGTGTTCAGGCCATCTCTGGCTGTCTTCCCTCCTTTCCCGTTTCTGTCTGTCACTTCCTCTTCCTCTCCTCTACCCCACACCCTCACTTTCACTGCCACAGTCATCTGGGTTGTCTCTTCCACCCTCATCTCCCTGGGTGTCTCTTTTGTCTGTATGTCTTTTTCTGTCCCTCTCTCCTCTCACCCCCTACTCACATCACGTGGTTTAAGCTGAAGACCTTTATTATAATCACCGTCTGTCGGTGGGGGTGGCCCTGCTGCTCCTCATAATCCTGGTGCCTTGAAGTTCTCCGTGCATCTGTCCATCCTCCCTGTGGCCCTGGCCAGAGCTCAGCGTGGGTGCATGGGTTCTGGGTCTGATGGCCACTCTCCCTTCCCCTGGCCTGGTCCTCCCAGCCCTAAACTCTGCCCCAGGAAGCCCATGGCCTCACCCGCACTGGCCCCTCTAGGCCTGGGTAGCCCTGGTCTGCAGGGCCCAGGGCCATTGCCCGTCACTTCATCCCTCCCTAGGCCAGGCCTGCTCTCATACCCTGCCCTCCTTCCCCTACCCCAGGGCACAGAAGCAAGGCCTCCTGTCCATAGCAGCTCCCTCAGTTTACTACTGCCTTAGGAGGCCCTGCTTGTGCTCAGGGAAGTCCTCTTCAGGGCCACGTCCCTGCTAGGTGGGGTGGGGCTCGATCCCAGCTCCACTAAGCCTTTCTGGGATCAGAATCCAGCCCTGTTGGGGACAAGAAAGTGAGACCCTCTTCCCACTGCTGCGCTGTCCTGGGTATCAGGCCCTTCCAGTGGGCAAGGCTGCGCCAACCCTGTACAGAATCAAGTGCCGTCAACTGGCCAGACTCCATATCCTTTGTGCCATCTTTCTTCCTGGCCAGGGTGATAGGGTTCCGGCCGTGAGGTAGCTGCCCAATCCTCTCGTCTCCTTATGGTAATGGAGGCAGAAGAGCCCGGGCCCCAGCGTCTGGGCAGGGCACTGTGGGAGTCCCGTGTCCCAGTCACCCACCCAGCCCTGCCCCAGCCTGTGTAGCTGTTCCTGCATGTGGATGCCGCATGTCTGGTCCGGGGCTTGGATGCTGCACTGCCCCCCAACCCCCGCCTGTCCCTTCCAGTAAATAAAGATCTCTTATGCCCACCCCTGTGTTGTGTCTTTGTGAGGGAGAAACTAGGAACCAAGGACCAACCCTCACCCCCATACACGCCTTCAGCCTCAAGGCTGCTCTTAGCCTGTTCTTCTCCACCCTGGCCATTGGGGGGCATCAGCACACTGGCCTTGCCCCCAGTAGCAGCCATAGCACCAGGCAGTTGGCAAAAGTGCTGAGGTCAGACCTGAACCTCGGGAGCCCTGGCTCCTTTTCAGACAGAAGGTTTACCAGATGGACTGCACCTCTGTGCCAGTCCTGGGTCCTACTCAGTAGTGGAGCCCACCTCACAGGCTTGAGCGTGAACTCTCAAAACAGGGCTTGGTTTTCAATTTCAGCTCTTGTATATTACTCATGTCATCTTGGGCAAGGAACTTCATCTTTCTGGGCCTCGATAGTATTTATTTTACAATTTATCGAACACTTGCTACATGCTGGGCTTTGTCTTAGATGCTGGGGAGACTGCAGTGAACAAAATAAATCCCTCGCTCTTAGAGCTTACATTCAGGTGGACACTGAAGAAAAGTCAAACACTGATAAATAATAGTAAGGAGGAAGACTAATCAGGGAAAGGAATGAGAAGTTTAAGAAGGTGCTGGGGGGCTGGCAGGTAGCGTGGTGGTTGAAGACGCTATACTCCCACATGGTCTACTGCAGTTCGAGTCCCGGACCTGGCAGCTTGCTTTCTCGCTTTCTCTCTCTCTGTCCCTCTGTAGTCAAATTAAAATAAATTCTTTAAAAAATAATTACTTTTTAAAGAATTATTTGTTTAACTTTATTTATTCATTCATTTATTTTTAATTTGACCAGAGAGAGAGACACAGAGGGGAAGAGAGAGAGGAGAAAGTAAGCTACCAGGCCTAGGACTTGAACCATGGTCGGCCAAGTGAGAGTGTCCAGCACCTTAGCCACCACACCACCACTGGCCCCCAAAAAGAATTACTTTATTTATTTTTATTTATTTATTTTCTGACCAGTGAGGGACAGAGTAAGAGAGAGAAGGACGGAGGGAAAGTGAGGAAACAAGCTGCTAGCTCTGGGATTCGAACTGCAATTGGCCATGTGGGAGTCCAGTGCTCATAACCACCACATCACCTGCCAGCCCCGATAAAACAATTCTTTTTTTTTTTTTTTAGAAGTTTTTTGCTATAGGGTGCATACAGTCACCAGAAAGACCAGAGACAGACAGATAGAAAATGAGAAATCACCCCCCCAGGGGGCATGACCACACTGTAATCCCTTCTCTTCCATTCTCCTCTTGGGATCTTGAGCACACACACATGCCCGGTGTGAGTTTAAGCCACCAGGTCTGGGACTCAAACCATGGTTGACTATATGGGAGTCCAGCGACATAGCCATTACGCCAACTGCTGGTCCTGGAAAGGTAAAAGGAAGCCCTGTCAAGAAGGTAGCCCTGAAAAAATGAAAGAAAGCCATGCATCGTTCTCCATCCAGAGGCCCTGCGGTGGCAGTGTAATCACAGAAGGGCAAGGTCAGCCAGCAGGTGGCATGGCGGTTAAGGCACTGGACTCCCATAGCCTTAAGCAGCCGCAGTTCAAGTCCCATACCTGCTCACATTCTTTCTCGCTTTCTATTTCTCTCTGTCTGTCTGTGATGACTATAACAAGTTAGATAATAATATAATAATAAATAAAACTAATATATTTTATTTCATATAGAAAGGTATATTTTGGCCTTTACTCTGAGATGGGAAAAAAGGGGCTTTGAAAGAAGAACGATATGGGCCAACTAGTGGCATAATGGTTAAGGGCACTGGACTCCCACATGGTCGACCACTTTCTGTCTCTCTGTCCCTCTAGTCAAAATAAATCAATAAAGTTAAGTAAAATAATTTTTTTTGGAGAGGTTTTTGCTATAGGGTGCATACACTCACCAGAAAGACAGAGACAGACAGACAGAAAGCGAGAAATCACCCCCTGGCAGGATGGCCACGCTACACTCCCTTCTCCATTCTCTCGGGATCTTGGGCACGCACGCACACGCCCCTGGCATGAATTTAAGCCACTGGGTCTGGGATTCAAACCGAAGTCAACTACATGGGAGTCCAGTGACATAAACTTTATGCCAACTGCTGGTCCCAATAAAATAATTCTTTAAAAAAAAGAACAATGTGATTTTACACGTATAAAAAGAATATTCAAGGAAGAAAGAAAAATCTTTTCAACAAATGGTGCTGGACCTGATCTGCATGGGAAAACGTTTAATCTTACCCCTACCTTATTCCATATTCTGCAACAAGGAATGTTTTTATGACCTTGGCATAGGCAAGCTTGCTTTTTTTTTTCCTAAATTTTATTTATTATTGTTATAGTTTTTAAAATAATTACTATTTATTTCCATTTGTTATTGTTATTTTTTTTTCTTTATTTGACTAGAGAGAGAGAGAGAGAAAGGGAAAGTGAGAAAGCAAGACACCAGGTCCAGGACTTGAACCATGGTTGGCCATGTGGGAATCCAGCGCCCTTATCCACCACACCACCTGCGGGCCCCCTTGAATTTTTTTTTTTAATTTACAATAGGGCACATGAGCTCACCAGAGAGAGATAGACAGAGGGAGAGAGAAAGGGAAAGTGAGAAAGCAAGCCGTCAGGTCCAGGGTTTGAACCATGGTTGGCAATGTGGGAGTCCAGTGCCCTAACCACCATGCCCCCTGCTGGCCCCTTTCTTTTTCATAAAGAACCATTCTAGGGACTGGCGGGTAGTGTGGTGGTTAAGGATGCTGGACTCCCACATGGCAGACTGCAGTTTGAGTCCCAGACCTGGCGGGTTGTTTTTTTCACTTTCTCCTTTCTGCAATCCCTTCTCCTCCATTCTCCTCTTGGGATCTTAGGCACGCACGCACACGCGCCCGGTGTGACTTTAAGCCACTCAGAACCGCGCTCGACTACGTGGGAGTCCAGCGACATAGCCATTACACTAACTGCTGGTCCCCATTAAGTAAAATTTTTAAAAAATATTTTAATTTGACCAGGGAGGGACAGAGCAAGATGGGGGGTGGGGGGGGGCGGGGGTTGGTGAAAAAGCAAGCCACCGAGTCTGGCACTCAAACCACAGTCAGCCATGTCGGAGTCCAGAGTCCTTAACAACCATGTCACCTGCTGGCCCTGGCAAGATTTCTTAAGACAAATATGAAAAAAAAAAATAGTAACCACACACACACAAAAAAAAGAATTCATACATTGGATCATCAGAATAAGTTTTTTGTTTGTTTGTTTGTTGCATGAGAGAGGGATAGAGAAAGAGAAAGACAAGCACTTTCTTTTTCTTTTTTTTCTTTTTTGGAGAGGTTTTTGCTATAGGGCACGTGCACTCACCAGAAAGACAGATAGAGACAGAAAGATAGAAAGTGAGAAATCACCCCCCGGAGGGGGTGGCCATGCCACAATCCCTTCTCCATTCTCCTCTCGGGATCTTAGGCATGCACACACACATGCCTGGCATGAGTTTAAGCCACCAGGTCCGGGACTCGAACTGCAGTCAACTACATGGGAATCCAGCGACATAGCCATTACACCAACTGCTAATCCTAAGACAAGCACTTTCAACAAGGCTCCATACCCACTCCTCCAAGCCAGCCAGCATCATGGACGCACATCCTGCATGTATGGGTCACCCAGGAAACTGCTCCACAATCTTCCATGTGGACCCAGCACCTTGGGCAGCATGTCATCATTGCATCAACTTAGCTTACCCTAAAATAAATACCCACTCCTAAAGTGCTTAGGAAAATGAAAAGACAGGGCCAGCAGGTGGTATAGTGGTTATAGAACTGGACTCCCACGTGGTTGACTGTGGTTTGAGTCCCAGAGGCTTTGAACTCATGCCGGGCATGCATACTTGTGTGCCCCAAACTCCAAGAGCAGACTGGATTGTGGCGTGGCCATCCTCCCTGGGGGGTGATTTCTCACTTTCACTGTTTCTCTCTCTCTCAGGCAAGCACACACACCCTATAGCAAAGATCTCTCCAAAAAAAATAAATAATTCCTCCAATATATCATACTCGTGAATTTGAAAACTCAGCATTGCAAAAATACTTCTTATCACAAATTCATGTATAGATTATATAATCCGAAATGAATCTCATGAAAATTATTTATTTACTTG